TATATATAAACACAAGCTACAGAACAAAACAGATTTGTTCAAAGATTGCTGACCCACTTAACCAGGCTTATGTGGATGAGACAGCAGCTTTATTTTCAGACCATGTCTATTTATTTATTTATTTGTTTATTTATTTATTTATTGTTCCACATGCTTTCTTGAAACGACCACAAGAGGTCACGCATGTTCCACCCTCAAATTGCTCTAAATAACCTGATAAGTAAAGAAAAAAAATCTCATTTTATTTTAAAACTCATTACAAATTTGTTATTTTAGGTGTAAATGGATTTTAAAGATGACATACAAGTTCAGCTCCTTTTTTAAAATCAGTGTTTTAGTTTAAATTTCTGCTTTTTAAGGTTAAATGCTGACCAATGAGTTAAGAGATAAAAAAAAAAACGTAATACCCTTTAAGGCTACAGGTAATATAAAAATCCATTTATTGTTACTGCTGTAATATCTGCTAAAATGTGTCCTGCTAAGGACAAAAAAGAGTCTTAGTAAGACCAGATTGTATTTTAATGAATGAAATGTAGGGTGCAAACAGAGTTAACCTGACTAAAATGTTTATATAAAAAATATAGTTCAGAAGTCAATATGAGAACCCATTAATGGATCATTTGTTTTGCTGTTTATGTAAACACAGTCATGAGAGAGAGAGAGAGAGAAAGAGAGATCTGTGGTCAGAGCAGGCTGATGACAGCCCCTGGCTCTGCAATGGTGACGAAAGCTGCTGAGCTCCTCAGTTGCCACAGCAACCAGGGAGAGCAGCCAGACAAAAAAAAAAAAAGAGCGAGGCAAAGGGGAGGGGCTTTAAKGGGAGAAATAGAGGAGAAAAGGCTGGATGGGAAAGATAGGCAGAGGGAGGAATACAAGCAACTGATAAAGAAAACCCACCGTGAGCAGCAGAGAGGGGCTACAAGCGGAGATAAAGCTCTGGATATTATTGCTCCATCCACGAGACTGGCTCTAACAGCTGCAGCAAGCCACTGAAGGATACAGGAAAAAAGCTGGAATCAAAGAGACGATGGATGTACAGACAGAAAACACGGACCCCCCACCTAATGAATCACAGCCAAGCGGAAAAATCAGAAAGGGATTCAAGCTGTTTGGCAAACGCAAGCCAGGTAACATCTTTTCTATCCGAAGCAAAGGGGACGGAAACAACAAGTCACCTGTTATAAGCAGCAAAGCACTGGATGGATTATCAGAGACCCACGCATCGAATTCTGAGACGGAGAAGGAAAACGGACCGGAGGCGGGACAAGGAGAAAAGGAACAGGCAGAGGACGAGACGCTCGCTGAAGATGGCGTTCTGGCGTCCGCCCCAGCTCGCACCTCCATCTCTTCATCCAGCTCAGCCAAGTCCCTCGGCTTCCTGTCACTGCTCCGAGGAGGCCGAAGGGGAGTGGGGGACCGCCGAGCCCAGACCGTGTCCCAGTCGACGGGTCGGCAGCGTCGTGGGCTGAAGGGCCTCTTTGGCAGCGTCAGGCTCCGATCGAAAGACAAAGAGGACAAGGAGGAAGCCCCTCCGAGCCCACTTCTGATGTCGTCCCGAAGCAACAGTGTGGAAATCATCAAAGAGGACCTGACCCTCACACCCAAATGCCACACTCGCTCTCTGAACAGCCCTGAAATAGAGAGCAGTGACCCGGTCCAGAACTCCACCAACAACAACAGTGAGGAGACATCTCCATCCGAGTCCTCAGCTCCTCAGGAGACAACGGTGAGTAGAACAAAAGAGCAACCAGCACCTTCACRCACCTCTGACCCTCCTCTGGTCCCCGGCGATACCAGCCTGAGCTCCTTGCTGGCAGACATCTCTTCTCTCCTGACCTTTGACTCGATCTCAGGAGGGGACATCATGGCTGACGTGGAAGCAGAGTGGGGCAAAGCGAGCAGCGGGCTCACGTCTGCTTTTACTCCATCGTCCTTCTTCTCTAAACCCACCGTCTCATCTCCGACGACAACTTCCACGACCGTCAGCGTGGCTGCGGCAGAGAAACCCTCCTCTTGGCCCYTCTCCTCCTCTGTCTCCACCTTCACCACATTCAACAAACCTTCCACTTTGACTTCTCACTCAGTCAAACTGAGCTCTGGCTTGGACTCTTCTTCCAGCATCCAAGATGCAACGAAGCCTTCGACGACACCTGCAGCATCAACAACCGCTTCATCGGCTCCGTTCACATCTTTTACTTCAAAGACAGTCCACTCCACTGCAAGCAACAGTTCTTTCACCACAGTACCTGCCATGAACACACCATCCACGATGAACAAGGCTCCTTTAATTTGTTCCAGCAAACTGACTCCACCTCCCCAAAATACTGCCTCCGTAAGTAAATCTGTTTCAGCTGCTGTGTCTGCCAAACCTTCACCTGTAACCCAGAGTGTTCCCATGGTCTTTACCCAGCCTCCACCTTTTAAATCAGATACAGTTTGCAATTCAAGCCTAGAAAAGTCAACTTTGGGGAAAACCTCCCAAATCTCAGCTGCAGGAGAACCTCCAGCCACGGGGTCAGTCGCATCATGTGTGGTTACAACTAAGCCCTCATCCTCAGCATCAGTTAATCTGTCAAACATTACAACTGTTTCCTCAGCAGCTACAACCTCWGCCTTTGTATCCACAGATGTTTACAAGCCTTCCCTCACCTCGACCCCTTTGGACTTGAGTAAAACCCCTCCCTCATTTGTAACAAATTCAGCTCCTTCTTCAACCCTTACAGCCACTAAAACCCAACCCGGCTCCTCATCTGTTCCAGCTCCACCTTTAGCTTCTTTAGATAAAATTCCTGCCACAACTAAACCCACCACAGCACCAGTGTATTCAGATAAGATGCCCCCTCCTTATGCAGCAGCTCCTTCTGCGATCACTCACGCTGTTTCTCCAGTACCACACACAACTGCTCTGAGTCAGATTCAGATTTCTGCCTCTGGAGTTTCTCCTGCTCCTGCTCAAATGCAGATTTCTGTACCGAAGGAACTTCCTGCCTCAGCTCAAGTGGAAGTTTCTCAATCYAAACCTGCTGAAGTCCCAGTTTTTCTATCTAAAGATCCATCTGCTCCCATGAAAATGCAGGTTTATTCATCTAAAGCCCCACCTTCTCCCACCGAGGTTCCAATTTCTGTGTCTAACCCCCCTGCTGCCTCTGCTCAGATTCCAATTTCTCAGCCTAAAACCCACCCTGCACCTCCCTCTGCCTCTTGCCAGGCAGCTTCTCCTCCTACGCCTTGGCCGAGTGAGACTCCGGCCATGACTAAGATGAAGGGGACAGGACACGCTTCAGTGGATCATCAGTCGACCAGTCCAGATGGCACAGGTGGACAGGGAAACCAAGCTGTGCTTTCCAAAACAAAAGAACTTCAAAATGAGCCACAAGCAAGCCTCCAGGGGCCTCCCAAAGAAAAGAAGCCAGCCCAATTAAAAGCATCGGGGCTTAGTAAAATACCTGTAGTTGGAGGGGGAAGAATGGGGAAGCCACCGGTCCGGGAAAGCCAACATGGCAATGATGAATCSAACAGGGATCCGCCTACGCCTGTGCAAGAAGAGAGGCCCAGTTTCAACTCACATGATGCGGGAAGAAAAGATAAAATTAGCCCAACCGAAGCAAATGCACCCACCTCAAAACCTACTCAGGAGGAGAGTCAGCAGCTTCCAAAAAGTCTCACGAGTTCAGGACGGGACTCAAAGATCCCTGTGAAACACGGCGCTCAGCCTCAGACCTCTCAGACTAAAGAAACCCCTCGGACAAAGATCCCCGTGTCCAAAGTTCCTGTCCGTAGGGCCGGGAACAAACCAGCCGCTACAGGTGGCACCAACCAGACGAGAAAATAAAACAGAACAATGGACTGAAGTTGTTTCATCTTTGGTTTTTTTTACACCACCTTTTTAAGATTCACATTTCTCTGCTGTAATTCCATCATCTCTTGGTTTTTACCACACAACGAGCAAGGAGCAAAGGAGCCTGACAGCACTCGAGCACAAAAGATCTCCAGGGGAAGCCAGAGTGACAGCCTGGCTCTGTGGTGCTGAGCCAAGCGGACATGAACTCAGAACAGGTTCGAAGGTCGGCCCCTTCACAGCGTCAACGAGAGAGGACGAGCGAGATCAAAGGGTGGTGGTAATACGCAATCACGCATACGTTCAAACAAAACAAGGGGAGTGCCTTCTCAGAGGTGCTTTTCCTACAGACTTGCAAAKTTTTCTACAGTAACTTTTAACTTTTGTTACCTTTTGCTTTTTTGTATAGGGACCTTTCAGTCTTTTTGTTCGTCCTTTCTAAACCCCTTAACCTTTTATTTATGCCAGGAGATGAACCTGTCAATGCATCAACCAAATTCCACACCTGTCGATGGATCTATGTAGCAGAAAAAAAACGTGCCATTAATTGTTTTTGCACAAGATATTAAGCTGTACAGCGCCTGCTCACATGTAACATTATTACATCTCACTGTGAACTGTTCATCGAARGGAAGAGGTAAAAGGGGAARGGTAAATGGACTGAGGTCATCATGAAAAGCGCTGTGGACATTTGTGAGATGAGATGTCCAGCTCGCACACTGGCACATTTATCCTAATATCAATCATACTCAGATGAGAGCAAAACCTCAGTGTAGAGATCCATCCGTGTTGTTCTGTTTCTAATGTAATCAATAAAACATCAGTAATTAGAAAGAGCTTMAAGTCATCCATTATATCCTCTTTTTCTATACTGCACTGCTTTGCAAACAGAAGCGAGCTCTGTATTACTCACCATTTACACACTCTAGGCTCTTTTCCAGCATCCTTCACAGTCCAAGCTCATTGACCTGAATAGCGAGCCTCTGAATGTCAGCTGAGTTCAGCCAATCAGATTTGAGGGGAAACGCTTTGCATGCATACCTTATTATCAGTAAAAGTGTCTGGGAATGTGTGTCACTGCTATTCTTGGAGTAAAATGGATCTGCTAAGTGACACTTTTGCTTCAAATAGCAGCTTAATATCACTGCAGATCCAAAGAAGCAATTATTCTAACAGAACAGGCTTTGACAGCTGATCATCTAAAACGCACAGACAAAGATGTGCAAAAGCAGCTCCAGCACCTACACARAACGCTGGGTTGATCTCAGTCACAAGGCGATGTTGAGAAATATTTAGAKGGCGAACACAAACAGAACTTGAAATCACAAAGCGAGAGAGCTGCAGAAGTGACACAAAAAGACCTCTGTGTGCTCAATAAAGCCARGGGCTGCAAGCTGAGAAAAGAGGATCATGATCTGCCTGAGAAAAACACAAGGAGTTCACCACATGAGGTGCTGATCCAGAGAGGTCCCCGAGGAAAAAGCAGTTCCCCCCACAAGGCTCTGCCACATCTGCTTCTCACAGCACCTGGATTAGAGGCTTTAAAAAAAGATTCCAAAATCAGATTTTAGTACAATAATTCACACTGCAACAGATATTTAGCCAGATTTAAGGTCTGGCTTTGTGGGAGCAACGCAACTAATGCCATTGTTTTTTCTTCATTATAGAAAACTGCTGGAGTGAACCTGATTCCCACAGTTATTAAAGGCCCAAATATTCGGTGAATGTTGCCTTTTGTTCTGATCTGTTCACATGATTTCTCAGCAGTGCAAACTTCATGCCTGTAAGTGACACAACTTAGAAACACAATGCTTATAAACTTCATACAGTTCTCTGAGAGCTGCATTTGTATTTAAGCCTTGCTCTCCATGAGGACCCCCCTTCTTCTTGTCCCACATACTGCATGTTCAACAAATTCTAGCAGAATTTTTTATTTTTTTGCTGAAGGCACATGGGTTTCCGATGTCCTGTTACGTGTTTGCATCTGTTTGTGCCTCTGGAGACACGACGTGATTCTTTAGAACCTAATTTAGCACGCCTCGTTCTGTGTTTCCATGCCAACCCCACTAGGTCAGCCAATGAAYGGCCGCACGTCTCTGGAGGAGGAGTTTAAAACATTTGTTCCCAAAGAAGCTCACGRACAGCCAGTTAATTTTGTTATGAAGTAATTACATTAAAGGTTTCAATGCAACTCTGAGGCACGTRCAAGAGAAAAGCTTTGTGGTTTATTTTCACAAAAAATAAATTATTACAGTTGGATGAACTTTTTAAGATTTAAATCATATGAAACTCGTTAAAGGAATAGTTCAGATCCTTTGAGCTGGGGTTTAGGAACTTTATAGGCATTTAGTATCTTCACTTTTGTAAATAACTTTTTGAACAATCTCAGTCTGGAGAAATAAATTCCAAGTAGATCAGTGTGGTAACAGCTGGTCTGAGCAGGGCCAAGACTAACATGGTTTGCTGCTAACTGACAAAAAAAGCAAGATTTCATAGTTTATGAAACACTGTTTTATAAATCTTTATTGTCAGTTTCACATTAGATTAGCTGTTTATAAAGAATCCTAATGCACTGTCCAAACATTTAGAATATCTGTATGTGAAAATCAAGTTTTTTTTCTACTGTACGTTTTTAAAGACTGGAGTTGTTTTCATTTGGCAGCTATGAATGTTGGTCCTAATTCCACACAGATTAGCTGTTTGCTTGTTAATTCAGCCAAACTTTAACTCTGTTTCTCCTAAGTGAAGTCATTTAAAAAGCTTTTCACAACAGGTAAGATATTCATTGTTTGRAACCTTTTAATATGCCTCTTCAAAAGATCTAAACTGTCTCTTTAGAGAAAAAAAACTTGCTATGTTGAAAGTATTTGCTGTGAAGCTTCATGTTGGTGTTTAAAACAAAACAAAWATCTGAGCATTTATAATCAGAATTATTTATTCAAGTTCATTACAAAAAACTGAATTATATCAGCTGAAATCACAATATGTTTCTATACAAAATACAAAACAATAAATGTATTCAAAATGTCTTAAATGTGTTCTGTTTCAAGGCTTATGTCAAAGTGTTTCCAACAGCATGAAGAGATTCATCCTGTCAGCTCTGAGGCCCGATGTGCCCTCTGCAAGAGCTACCATCAAACAGTGAGCCCTGCAGTCTGAGAGGCAACAGCTGCTCACTTGGTGCTAAAGTGGTCTCCTGCTGTCAAATACTCTGACTAATAGTCAGCAAAAATACTCAAATACATATTTAATACATTCAAAAACAAGATTGCTTAAAAAACTAAAGCTTGATACACACGTGCTTCAAACTGCACATTTAAAGTTAAAGCATAAGAAATGTTAAGGATAGAGGTTTTATCTCTTTAATAATCCTCATTTAGATATAAATCATTCAGAGCATTACGTCATCGTAGTGCCATCGCTCTGCACTGAGGACATCTGCTGGTGACACGGAGTAAAAATGCTTTAGTGTGGAGAACGCGGCTGACGCAGGACCATGCAGCATCACTGCTGCACAACAACATGGTCTCATCATGTCTGGCCTGCAGCCTCCTCTGCAGGCAGAGGAGGCTCCATGGAGGGGAAAATAATTACCACTGTGGCTCTGTTCATTTCCTGGTTTTACTACTACTCACAAGAAATTCATCAAAAAAAAAAAGAATATAATTGTTTCATTGTTTTAAATTATGTGGATGAAATTTGGTTTAATGATGAAGGACATTCGACAGAAACATCAGCTTATGTTGGTGGTCCTAAAGCAGCATATAAAATGAGATAAATGTAACACTGAAATCATGTTCATATTTTAACAAAAAAAGGTGCATTATTGCAAATACACACACAGAGAGGAAAAACACTGCCTGGCATTCAAAGGAAACACATTTGAGTAAGACTGTGACGTAGAACTATTTTTAAAAAGTACCATACGAAGTAGGAGAGCAGAACTTTGGTTAGAAATAGTCTAAAAAAGACAAAATTCTGAAAAAGTTGTGTCAAATGTAAATTTAAAAAAGAATGCAACAATTTCTCACGTTTTATTATACCCATAGCAAACAGAGCAAATGTTAAGTAAGAAATTGTACAATTTTTTTTTGGAAAAATAGAATAGAATTTTAAATTCTATGGCAGCAACACATCTYAAAACAAGACYGGACTGAGGCAACATAAGGCCTAAAAGTAAAATGAGGAAGAAAGGAAAGAAGAAAGGACATTTGAACAGTTAGAATCCCACATCAAACAAGAATGGGACAAAAAGCTCCAGCAGCTGGTCTCTGCTTCACAGAGGGAAACATGATCCTGACCTGTTTTTTTAGATGTGTTGCTTTCATAAAATTCTAAATTACCTTATTGTTTAGAAAACTGCAATTCTTTTAGTTTAAACATTTGATAAGTCAATGTTCCATTGTGAATAAAATGTGGSTTGAAGAGATTTATGCATCCTATGATTATTTGCATTTTACAAAATGTCTCAAATCAATTATTTTTTAAAAGAATTTTAAAGGGTATTTATTAAAATTGCATATTACCATGAGTTTTTTTCATTGTCATTTGTTTGTTTTCAAGTATAAACAGAACCAAAGGTTTGCTTTTACTCTGAAATGTCCACTCTAGATGTAAGTTCTACTCATCTGAGTCGTTAAGCAGATAAATGTAGACTCTGCTGTTTTACACAATGAAATGCATGTGTCCTTCGGCGCCCGTTACGATAACATCCATCCAGATGCGCATGGCCTCGGGAGACGGAGCCACCATGTAGTACACTCGATCGTGGGTCTTCACACTGAAGGTCAGTGAAGGATTGGGGCTCTATGTGTGTGGGAGGGGAAATAATAAAAGGGGATGTAGAGGAGGGGGAAATAAAGAGAAGCATGTGTTGGGAGGGAGAAAAGAAGAGGACAAACAGATGTGAGATATTTCATGCGGAGGAAGCCACACATGTAGACACACAAACATGCTGACTTACTTTGTGTGCGTTCTTCAAATGGTCATAGTACACCTCCTCTATGGCTTGGAAGTAAATGACGCCTTTCGTCTTGGTCTCATGTTTGTCTGCAGCAGAGAACATAAACAGAGCCGTGATCAAAGCTCGCTCTCGGCGTCCCATCTATCCGTCACTGCAAACGACACACATCAGCTGAAACCTGAGAGATGGAGGTGCGCACCTGCATAGTACGTAAGTGTCCGGCGATTCTGGTCAAAAACAAACCAGCGTTTTTTCCACGTCTTGATCTTCCCTCCCATTTTGACGAGGAACCCTCGACAGGTTTTGTCAGTGATGGCCAGGTGAAAGCAGGCGTCCGGGTTGTGTCCAGCTGCCTCGATGTGGCCGTGAAGGTCAAAGTCGTCTTTTCTTACAGGAAGGTAGCGACTTAGCATCCGGGACTGAGGCCAAAGCAAAGGAAGGTTGTAAAGATTAGCATTTTGATATAAGCCTCTTAAAATAGGTTTTTCTGACTTTATATATAGTTTGTATTTGCTTTTATTGGATTTCTTATTTTTAAATTGTATGAATGTTTGAATCTGGGTTGTTTGTTTTATGGGACTACAAATGGAATTCAGCATTTTGCTAAATCCGGTATATTTATGACAACATTGTACAGTCATTAATATGCACTGTCCCATTTTAATACAATCAATCATTCAAAGGTCTGATTTCAGATTCCAGCTAACAGAAATGTTTCAGATTACCTGTGATCTCTGCTTCTCCCTGAGCTTCACCTCTCTTTCCACGAGCCTCTGCCTCCTGCTCGTCTCCTCCTGAAGGCGCTTCTCCAGCTCCTCTCTCCTTCGCCGCTCCTCCTCCAGGGCCTGCCTACGCATCTCCATCTCCCTCTCCTGCACAGACCGCCGAGTTAACCCGTGGCGCTCGTTAACAAACTAACAAACACGTCGTTCTGGTTCCGCTCGGCTCATTTACCCGATGCTCGAGGAGCCTCTGCTTCTCGGCCTGAGCCTCTCGTAGCAAACGCTCCATCTCCTCAATCTTTGCCATGTTTGAAGTACTGGCACTGATGATGATGATGATGATGATGATGATGATGGAAGGTAAACAAAAGAACACAAGAAGAACAACAGAGTTTTTATTTTCCACGAGAAACTTCTTCCAAAGATCTGAACCATCCCTTTAAAAAATGAACACTGGAGGGCGTCAGGGCCACCAAATACCCTCACTAAGTACTCAACATTTTGCAAGATTAAAGACTCAAGTGTTCTTTCAGATTTGCAGAACAAAAAAATATATTATTCTGTCATAGACATTAGCCAATATTTGTGTCACCTATTCAACTAGCTGTTGCTGCCATCTTGAACGGGGTGAGCTCTAAAAATGAATCAGTTGTCCATCCAATGATTATTTTTCTGAAGGTTTCATTAAAATTCACCTGGTAGATTTTGTGATATTTTGCTAACAGACAGACAATSAGTTCGTGTTAAGTTAGAGATGTCTCAAAGCTCCTAATACGCCACATTTTAATTCCATATTTGTTGAATTAGCTGAGTTGGAGTAAATTTTGTGAAAGGGAGTCTGCCATTTTGAATTTGGTTTATTCCAAGAGTTAATTGGTTGTTGATCTATAGATTGTTTTTTTTGGCATTTCATTAAATAAAAAAATTAAGATGTATAAAATGTTATTTACAAAAGATATAGGGATGCTGAGTATGTCTGAGTATTGTTATTATTTTATTTTATTTTATTTTAGGTTTTTTTTTTGCAATATATGGAGATGTTTTGGGCTGCGTATATATGTGCGTACATTTGTGTATGTACACATTTGTGTGTGTATGCAGTGTATATGCATAAATGTGTGTATATGCATACACACATTTATGTGTGTATGCATATACACTGCATGTAGATGTACATTTACGTTTATGAATATACTGTATTCTGGTATTATATAAAATTCTAGGAAAACAGATTGTTGTTTTAATCTTTATGAAATTGTAACTTAGAATAAGGAAAAAGAAGAATTTACTATTATTTTTTTGTCAATAAGATTCGGAGAAGGGTGGGATTAAATAAGTTTTTGACTTCTTCCCATTCCTTTTCAAATATGTTAATTTTGTTAATTTTGTTATCACTTTTTAGTATTTTTTGTTTTTGTTTTGTATACATGTTTGAAATAAACTAAACTAAAAAAAACTATTCATCCAGCGATGTTGTGAACATGATAAGCACACACAGGCGAGAGCACAAACACTTTGGCTTTGTTGCCTTTGGAGGATGGGCATTAATTATTGGTTTTGCTCATTCTCTAAGGCAGTGGTTCCCAAACTTTTCAGCTTTTGACCCACAAAATACCAGCAGCAGAGACCTGAGACCCCAGCTGTTGTTGGTTGATGAACATTGTTTTCATGTCAAATAAACAAAAGCATAGTGACAATATTTATTACGCTATTTTTGTCCATTTTAAGTACACTAACTTTATTTTTTTGTAACAAAAAAGGCAAAAAATTATTGACAGTTGTAATTTTTTTGTGTAATTAATACAGAAAATCTTTTCAGGACCCCACGTCCCGACCCCAACTTTGGGAACCACTGCTCTAAGGGAGTGGAGTTTAGCTTTTTAACATCTATGACATCACAGCACATCTCCTTGTCCTATTGACCGTCCATTTGCTTCTTGTTGCAGTTCCTGTCTAACCTGGAGATGTTGTCTGGGGAGCAGGCGGAGAAGCTCGTCTCCAGGCTGTCAGAACTCTCCACGCTGACCGTGTCCGAGGTCAGGCTGTTGTCAGGGAAAGAGAAGGAGTCCAGGAACACGTTAGGCTCTGACACCATCCTGCTGCAGAAATCCCCTTGTCTCTGCCTGTCGTCAGTCATGTGTGCATGGCTGTTGCCTGCTGACAGAAGAAAACACCCGGGGAGAAGCTACAGTTCACCGCTCGACGCACAAACCAGTGTTACTTCCTCTGGAACGCCACTTTATTATTGCGTCACAAAACAAATTCCTGTCCTGATACAGTCACATATACCCAAGGTTCAGAGATAGACAAACAATTTGCACAACCGTGATGGAGATGGAATCGAAACAAGCTGCGTGTTTGTCACTCTGACTCACTCTTGGGCAGCCGGCGGGTGTTTACGTCCCGTGGGGAGAAGCTGAAGCCTTGTGGGATGATGCTGCCGCAGCTCGAGCTTTGGGTCAAAGGTAGGTGAGCCTTGGGGAAAAGAYCATGCAATTCAGGATCAGATTTTCTATCATTAACACACAAGCAAAAATTTCTTTCTCAACAAAAAGCTGCAAGTTCTGAGCTCATTGGGTGTTGTAAGCACAACTGTTTGGGTGGATCTTCCTCAAGGGACTGAAGTTTCCTGGATATAAATGAAATCCTCTCATGTAGACCAGAATGCTGCTTTGAATCTGTTACTTTGCTTCAACAATGTTGCATTAAACTTCAAATGAGAGTATACCATAACTCTTAAAATGATCAGAGATCATTCAACTCTTCTTCTATGGGGGTAAAGAAACAGACCTTAGGAGGAAGTGTGCGTCCTAAAGATCTGCCGTAAGGACTGAGGAGCTGCTGGCTTCTCTTTTGAGACAGGTTTTCGTTTGGCTGGGACAAGTTTTCTTTGCTTCTTCTCCTTTCCTGTAGAGAGTTTAAGTGCTGCAGGGATCACACACATCAGAAATCACATATACAAAAAAAAAAATCACACAACAGGAAACATTTAAAGTGCAGTGTCACCTACCTCTTTGACTCCTGCAGAGTTATGGGTGAAGTTTTGCCCCTCAGACAATTCTGCGTACTTTCCTTCCAAAGACACAAGTTTGTCTCTTTCCTGAAGACATCACACACTCCTTTAAGTTTATTGTTCCCACCAGCAAATGTGAAGGCGATAATGTTTTTTGTCCCGATCAGTTTAGCAAAAACCTGCTGCGGCTGTAGATGAGCGTTATTTGCATCATGCATTTAAAGCGTTTAKACATCTCATAATCACGTCCGATTGTGCAGAACTACATTTACAAAATGTGACCAAATCTGCTAAAACTCTGTCCCTTTATATCGTAAAACGACTTTAGTTTACAATTCAATATGTATTTAGTATTTCTTATAGAGAAACGTTTTACCTTTTGAAGCATGATGAGCAAGTTGTTCTTCTCCCTCTGAAAGTTCTCTCTCTCCTGCTGAGCCTGTAAAGTGGTCTGCGAGGACTGTTTCTTCAGAGTTATGATTCGTTCCTGCAAAAAAGAAGGAAAATGTAAAAAAGTAGCATGGCGTGTAAAGCGGCAACTCAGCAAACAAAAATCAAATACGCTCCTACACTGCAAAAAATGTCCATCTAACCAAGATTAAAAATCTTATATCACACCAGAAAATCTTTTTGATCTTGTTTTGAGACTGATTTACCAAACAAGAACTGATCGTGTAAGAATAATAATCTTGTTTTCAGAATGTGTAAGATTATTTGTCTTGTTAGTCTGAAAATTTGACTCAAATTCAGTCAAACATTTCTGCCAACGGAGTAAAAAAATTTTACTTGGTAAGATTCTTGAAATACTTGATTTGACTCAATTTTTTCTTATTTCAAGAATCTTACCAAGTAAAATTTTCTTACTACATTTGCAGGAATTTTTAACTGAATTTGAGTCAAATTTTCAGACTAACAAGACAAATTTCTTACACAGTCTGAAAACAAGATTATTATTCTTACACAATCAGTTCTTGTTTAGTAAATCAGTCTCAAAATGAAATCAAAAAGACTTTTTGGCTGGATATAAGGTTTTAAAACTTGATTAGATGGATTGTTTTTGCAGTGTATTTTTTATGTGGCACTTAAATTCATCAGAAGCATTGTGTGAGTTTGTTAGATCCTCAGTGTTACATGCTTACCGGTTAGTTCATGCTTTGTAGGCAACTTAGTTCATTATTTTGCAGCTTTACTTTCATGCACAACCTGCAGTAACATCAATGACATCTTAAGATAATTCATCTTGGTACAGTTCTATAAATTCACATGCTTGAGCATTGTGGCKGCATAACTTTGTTTTTTAATATTTTTTTTCTCACATGCACATGAACTAAAACCCGTRACTGACTCTACCTTTCGTGTGACAGAAAGACGCTGACACTCGGCGATTTCTCGCAGCAGCTCCTGGCTTTCGCTCTCTTTTTCCTCCTCCTGCTTCATTTCTCTTTCCAGCTTCTGAAACTCCAGATCCTCTGAGCTTTTTGACTGCTCCACGGTTTCCTGAGACCACAAAGKGAAACAGAAACACAACTTTTTGTATAAAAGTCATCAGGTGAGTTTAGTTGTTCACCAGATTTACACATCTGATTTATTTTTCAGCAATTGAGAGCTGAAAAATCAGCTGTCAGCGACTGGAGTGTAAAAGTATCTCTGAGAACGAGATAAATATAAACCAGAGATCCAGATTTAGACAGGACCAGATCAAATAAAGAGAATTTAGGAGTAAAAATAAACACATTAGGAAAAATGAAAGGACAAGTAATGAATGTGAAATATAAGAACTTACATGTTCTGTGAGTTCAGCTCTGCTCTGTCCAGTGTTTGTTTTATCTACATCGCCTTGCAATTATTTTATGTGGAGACGCGTATGTGCTTATTTTTGCTCATGTTTAAACTGTGGGTGAAGCCTTTCAGGAAGTTTATCAAGRACATTCATTTTAAACAAGGCTGTAATCATTTATAATTGAAAACCAAATTAGTTTGTTTAGTTATAAAAGAAAATTAAATTGAATTACTTTCAGAGAGTTTTGATTTAACCATTTTTGTGGATTTAAATGGTAATTAATCCATTTTAACATTATCCGTGTTTTGCAAAGCTCTTTACAATAAACTTTATATRACTGTTCACTCAAACTCAAGTATAATGCTTTGTCACTGCCAACCAAAATCTTCCAATAATATGCGTGCACACCAAAAGTGTTCCTGTCTTTCATTTTACTGATTTATGAATATTTCGTAGTTACAAAACAACTGGACACACTTCAGAGGCTAATCTGTTGCACTAGATGAAAACTTGAGGTTTAGACTCTTGCTCCACAGTTTTACCTGAGACTCTGGGTTGCTTGTTTTCTCAATATTGTACATTTTCTCCTTGAGTTCTTCCAYAAGCTCCTTTTCCCTCTGCAGCTGGGTCATCTCAGACTCCTGCTCTCCATCCAGCAGAGCGCACTCCACCTCCATCTGCAGGAAAGAGCCGCACAGCACAGACACCCCTGATTTAAATTGATGTTTTTTTGCAGTTACAGAGCAGTGCTGGTAAGCAGGAAATACAGCAGCTCTGGCTGCACAAAGACAACTAAAAATCACCCATAAACTTTGTCTCATCTCACCTGTATTCTGTTAGCAGTGGTGGGCACATCGCCAACTCCCAATCTGCTAATTGAAAATATAGCTTCACTAATGCTAAGCCACTCAACATGTAAAAAAAAAAAGAAAAAGTGGAAGCTATTGCTAAACAGCTAAACAAGTAAAAATTAGAGGAAGCTATAAGCTAACCGCTAAGTCAACTGTCATTCAGTCTATCACACGTATTTGTCTCTTTACAGCTGAAGACTGGTCGGACTGATACAAACCTGCTGATGTTAGCTTGTTAGCTGTTAGCAGACTTAAAATTGTCAAAACCTAATTTAGTGGAAGCTAATTGTTAGTGAAGTTAGTGGGACAGCTAACCCCTAAAGAAAAAAAAAAAAAGGAGCTGCCCACCTTAACAATCAGCACACCTGTTGTCAATCAGTAATCACTGCTGTCATATCTAGCTTTTGTCAGTTCTTGGACATATTTCTTGTTAATATTTGTGTAACGTGTTGTTTGCATTTTTTTAAGCAGTGCAGATTTAATAAAAACTGCTTTATTTGTGCCTTCACTTTGGTTCTATTCATCATACACTGTACCAAATGTGACACAGTTACTTGCAGTAACTTAAAGTGTCGATTTGTTTGGAGTTTGGACTCTAAGCAACAACATCTTGTTTTCTGAATAGGGGATTAAACTACACAAATTGATCCCGACTGCCAGCAAGCATTCAGATGATGAAGAGGTCATACAAGCATAAAGAAAAGTAGCAGCATCATTTTGTTAAAAATCTGCTCCGATGTCAGCTGTGTTTATATTCTGTCCCTCACCTCACGGAGGGACTCCTCCATCTGGTTGTCCAAGTCTTTGATCTTTTGTTCCAGCTCCTCAATGTTGTTCAGAACCTGAATTCTTTCTTCTTCGATGTGAGTCGCCTCTTGTTTCAGCTGCACACTCTCCATGGCCTGCAGTGACAGCAGGAATGCAAATAAAATTCTGGCTCTACAGGAGGCTTTGTAATTTTTTTGTAAATGCAAACAAACAACCAAAGAGTTACAAATCGCACAATGAAAGAAAAAAAATCTTTCAAGTTAGACAACAGCAGCTGCAGTTTTTAGTCATCCAAACTGGATCATTGATAATAAGGACCGGATTCTTTCCCATTTCATGCAATGGAAATCTATGAGTGCTCTGTAATGCCAGTCACGCCAAGGCACTCCCCCTTATTGCACCATCTGTCAACATCCTGTAAACATTCAGTCGCACTTATGTGAGGATGCATTTGAGATCAAGTATTCTTCCTGAAAAGATCCAGTTGGATTATTTTGTGGTCAGAAACGTGTGTACTCAGCAAATCTGGAAGATTTACAGTTTCTCAGATAAATTGTGAGACTTTTTTCTTCCACACACTCCTCTGAGGAATGCAAGCGATAGAACATGAGTTCCTTGGAGTCTGTAACCCTCTGTCAAAGCTGACTTGTTGCAGAAAACTCAAATTTAACTTGGACATTGGATTGAAAAAGGCTTTGTTTTTGCATGAAAAATATGTTTTTGTTACCTGTTTTACCAGATTTCAATTCCTCAAAGTAGGACATCCTCTTTGCATCAGTAAAAGGTATAAAACATCTGGAAAGGCGCACGTCTGCGCAGTGCATTTACACTCACATTCCTGCTCTCGCACACACTCGCACACATTAATTCACTGTGGGATAAAGTCATTTCCTGTCCCCCCCTCTCCTTCTTTCAGGAGTTTGAATGGTTCAGTGCTGAAACCAAACTGGGACTTCTTCATTAAATCCAGACACAATGTTGAGTTGTTACAGATTCAGAACGAGGGGAGAAAAAAAGCCTGGAGTGGAAAAAGTGGCCTCTCTGGGAGCAACAACCACATGCGTATGTAATAATTTGAAATATGTGGAGTGTATTTGTATTTGTAGGTAAGACATACTTATTGATTCTTTTTCTAGACTGAGCTGCGAGGCTTCTCACTGCGACATACCCGAACACATATATCCAACAAGTTATTTTAACAACATATCCAAAAATGGTGATGACTTAAAAAATGAGGTCAAATGACCTCGAGCAACTGTGTGAAAAGCCCACGTTAACAAAACATGAATAAACTACGAACAACTACAGCTTTTCTAACAAAAATAACTAACAAAAGACCTAACTAAAATGATTGATCTAAAACCAAAATTTTAGACAAAAATCATCAAAGCTGTTTTAGTAAAACCTTGAAAATAATGTAATGTATAATCTCAGAATATGATCAGGTTTTAGCTTAATATTTGTAAAATTGTCTGCGTTATAGTATTTTTGTGTTAACTAAAGTGTAATACCTTTGTCGGCCATCTTTAATTGGAATGAAGTATAAAATTAGTCATATGTATATCCAGTGCTAAAGCTGAAAGTTTCATTAAAATATGTCTAAGAGATCATGCGATATTTTGCTAACAAATACCCAAAGAAGACCCTATATAGTTAATAACTAAATTTTAAACATCAATCTTGTTCAGTCCATTAACTCTCTGAATATTTGTTGGGGATCAGCCTCAGCTACTATCACATCAAATTTTACTAAAAAATAATTAAATAATAAAACTTGTATATTTTTATCCAAAAATCGTCTTTAAGATGGAATTGTTGATTTTCTTTTTCTTCAAATGTTGCTATAACTCAGGTGTTATTTGCACAAAGTATATTAAGGATCTGGCCATAGTGGTACAATATTTAAATAACCTTTGGCATCAGTTCCCTTCTGTGGAAATGCAAGAAGGAAATTCTTCAGAATAACAACAGGTAAACAAACACGAGTAAACAAGCCGTCTCTGTAATGAGGGGAGGCTTTATCAGGCTTCACTGTAACTTCTCTCAGTTTCACAATCACTCTGTGACAGGAAATAACAGGGACAGATAACAAGGAGTACGGAGAAGGATTAGGACCACAGTGCAAGGAAAAGTCAAAATTTAAAAGTTATTTATCAGTTTCTCAGAATTCTGAGTTTAATGTCAGAATTCAGGTGGAATTTTTTTTTTTTTTTGCTCTGTGGCTCTGAGAAGTCCTAGTTTCACACATTTTGACTTGCTGCCGTCACTAAAGCTGTTTTCAAAATTATTCAGTTTCCAAGAATTTTTTTTAACTTCAAACAGGCAGTAAGGTGCAAAAAATTAGAACATTTTGTCATGATCTGCRTTTTTTTTTTATTACATCACACTTTCAGTCCTCACTTTCTGCTCATTTGGCAAAGCTCGTGCAGCTGATGAGCTCACCTTGGCTCTGTGGTGCATAGAAGGTGAGGGGGCGCTGCTGTTCAGGCTGACAGCAGGTGAATGGGACCTGATCTCTCTGTAGCTGCTCTGCTGACGCTGAACGGCCGACTGCTCCTCTGAAAGCTGGAAGTCTCTGGCCTTGGCTCCGAAGTAGCTGTCTGGAGGGGGGCTGCTGGGGGAGTCAGAAAATACAGACTCATCATCCGACACTTGCAGCTTCTCCAGCTCCTTATTGATCTTCTGCAGGTCAGAAACAGCTGAGGCCTTCGGCTCTCGTGCCACCTGTCCCAGCTCAGTGCACAGGTTCAAGATGGTCTCCAGGCGCTGAGACTCCTGCACAAAGACGAATCATTTAGTTCTTCTCAGTTAAAGTGTTAAATATTTATTTAAGGGATTTGCTCACCAATCTCTGAACTTTCTGCTCCCGGAGCCGCTCGTCTCTCTGGTGCAGGTGGTAGTCTCTCAGCTCCTCTTTGCCATTCAAAGAGCTGATGCTGCCCACTCTCTGCCCTGGACTCAACCCACTCTTCCCAAATGACATTCTTCTCTCCCCTAAGCCCAGATCTAGGCCCGTTACATCCATCTCTACACCCAGAGAGCTCAGGGAGGCCAGGCTGGACCTCCTGGACGTGCCGGGCATGCTGGCTGGTACGGTCACGTCTGGAGGCTGATCCAGGGAGGAGAGACTGCGCCTCTGTCCTGCAGAGACCGACCCTCTGTGAGAACCCACCGACTGACGAGTCGGCAGCGACAGAGCGAGGGGATCCGCTGCGTTGTGCAGCCGAGGCAAAGAACGACTGTGGGTCCCCAAGTTGTTGAGGGAACCGGTGGAGTATTTCCTCGGCCTGGAGTCTCCTCCTGCTTTGCCCTGAGAGTAAAGCCTGCGGCCCAGTCGAGGACTGGATGGCATACTGGCCGCTCCGCTTTTGACCCTGGGGGACCGAGGCACTACCTCCCCGTAAGTGGGAATCAGGGAGCCTCCATCTGCAGCACCGGAGAGCAGCAGGCTGTCCTGTGACTGGTGGCGAGAGTAGGTGTGGCAAGGAAAGCCGTTGGAGCGGATCTGGCGATCGCCCTGCCGCGGTGACGGCGGCACGCTGCTGCTGCTGATGTACGAAAAGTTCCTGGAAGAAGACGGAGGCCTCTCTGTGTTGCTGAGGACCGACAGCGGCCGGGTGGACTGGCCTCCAACACCGATGTACTTGCGGCTGCCCTCCGCCGCTCTCAGGCTGGCTTCCAAAGCGCTCTTCCTGCGCTGCAGCGTCTCCATCAGCTCCTGAAGCTCTGCTTTTGACCGAGAGCCCCTCAGCAACGTCCTCCCCACCGGGCCCCCGCTGCTGGGCTCAATCTTTACACAGTCTGTAAACACAAACAGTTGACAGAAGACATTTTTGATATTGAAGTTAAGATGGTAGCAATCCATATTAACTTTGATGCAACTCAAACTAATATTTAATTTGCGTGGCAATGTCTTAAAATTGTCGGCTGGCTTTCAAAACCTGAGACCTCACACGTTACGATCAAAGATCACAGATATAACAGGTTTGTGTGTACAGCCACACGGCAAATAAAACACACACCAACAGATTTCACTCACGAACGTTCAGATGTCAGACGTTAAATCTCACAAAACCTCTCGAGATCAAACGTGAGATCAGAGTCAATAAACATGTCCAGTGATGTGGAAACAGTGGTGCAAGATGGGGACAGTTTTTTAACAAAACAAAACAAAACAAAGATGTCCATGACAATTTTGTCTTCTGTATTTTGCATTTCTCTCTGTGTTTATGTCACCTGGCTTTCTGATTGGCACCACACACGGCAGGAACATCTCCTAAGGTTATCTTTAGAGTCATCACAAGAATCTGGGCTTCCTTAAGATTGTTGGACGGGAAAATTTGCACCAAAAATTGGCACAATTATTTTGCTATGAACCCAGCATAACAAGCTAATCAAAAAGCAATCRACAACAGGTAAGATAATTATTGTTCACATTACATCTACATCTACATTAAAAGGTTTGGACTACCCCTGTCTTTAATCCATTAACCAGCAGTTGAGCTAAAAGAGGTGCTATCACCTATGTGCTGAGCAAGAAGGGAAAATCCAGTGAAGAATGTTCACTCGTACAGTTCTGAGTCCAATACAAACACTGACTCAATCACTGCTGAAGTCTCTTCTAAAAATGGAAGAATGCTGGTGAACCAAGACAAGGCAGAATACATCATCGTCTCAGCTGCAACAGAGACCCCGAGGACAAGCGATTACCCAACCAACCGCAGGGGTGAACGTGTTTAAATCAGTGTGGCCAGACTCTAATTATAGACGGCAAATAAWTAGTTCATCTGATTTTATGGAAGGTTTTTGGCAAATGTTGGTTAGAAATCATTTATGGGACTTCATTGTGTTATAATTCACTGARAGAGTTTTATTAGTTTATGCTTTTCTCTAAACAAACCGATGCAGGGTGATTGTGCTCATCAGACTGAGAAAACTCAATAATAAGGATTCATCAGTAACGAGTGTGACTTACCCGACCCGTAGCCCAGAGTGGCAACAGAACTCCTTTGAGGAAGCATCATTACAGCAACCCTTTCCTCCCCGATGGATCAGAGCTGAAGGGTGGAGGACTCACCTGGGACCTGTGAATGAAAAGAAAAATCAGATTTACAGAAATAATTTCACATTGTAACATMTATTATAGATCTTTGCAGTGGAAGTTCTGATCAGCTGTGTGAGTCTGTTCTGCACAGTGAGCGCAGTCTGCTTTACAGCAAGAGGTGGATCTAAATTAAGATTAGATAAATGCCAAATTCAGATTTCACTATGAAAATGAGAAAACAGGACAAGCAGAGGACAAAAAAAAAGACGTCAGTCAGTCAGTTACGTATTTATAGTTTGGACATCATCATGTTGGTGCTAAAATGCTGTTGTGTACAAATTGTGTTATTGTTGATTTATTGATTTATTTATTGCTTTAAATAAAACTGATTATTTAGCATATTTGTGACAGGTGGCAGCATTAATAAAAACTGTTCAGGTCTGAAAATGAGCAAAATCAGATGTTTTGTTTGTTAGGGTCACTTGGCTGAGGCGGCCATCTTTAATTTGATTAATTCTAAAAGTTAATCACTTGTAGATGTACATCCAGGAATGAACTTCTGAGCCTTTCATTAACATTTATCCACGAGTTTAAGAGATATTTTGCCAACAGACCGACACATGCAGAAACATTATGTCTACATGTGTGTAATAAAAATATCATTGCAAGACTGTTAAACTGGTAACTTTTATTTCAAGAACGACTCAAGCAAACCTTGAAAACGGATTAGTTTCACAAACTTAAATACAGAATCAAACAATTCCCATAAATCATTAAAAAATTTTTTTTTTTACATGTGGCACTGTTTCTGCAACACTGATCAAAAGCTTTCTTTTCTGAGAGGAGGAGATTATATAATTTATAAACTGTTTCATCCATTTATTCATTGCTTTAGAACAATGCCTCACTCTTTGCACGTATTCCAGATGTGCACTTTTTACAGAAAAAAAAGGCAAAAAAAACTTTCCAAAAGACAGAGTGGTTTAACAGACTCTGAGTTTTTATGTCTCGCCAATAAAATCCAATAAAGTTGCAGAACTTTACACCTTAACGATGTTTAACCCTCATGACCAGTCAGTCTAAGTACAAAGGCTGTAAAAACCTGCAGCTTGTGCTAAATTCATTACTTCAGACATTTTTTGTGTGTTTTTAATTATTATTCCATTTCGTCATAGATTATGTTCATTTTTCCTCATTTTGAARTCTAGTGAAGATCTTAATCGACTATTAAACAAAGACAGTTGAAAAGTCTTAATAAAGCTAAACTATTGATCCTTAAATCAAATGCTACAGTTTTCATCTTAGCTGAGGATGTTGGTTTGGTTGATTCGATGGTTAAAAGTCACACGATTGTTTCCAGAGCAGAGAGAGATGGCTGATCTAAGATTTTTCTGGTCCTGCTGTCTGGAGAGAGTGGGCCAACAGGAAACAGGGTATCCTCTTACACACTCTTGTATCCAGTCAGCATGAGTTCATTCTCCAGACCTCCGAGGAAAAACGAGWAAGAGGGAGAGAGAACGGGGGGAGAAAAAGCCCCCCCAGTCTCGAGTAAAAGAGCACCGGTCGCACTTCAGACCAGCTGGGTGGTGAGCATCAAAAACACTCACAAGATGTAAACAGTTGGAAAAATGACCTCTGATAAGATGGTTTTCATCTGCGCTCTGAGGAGAAATACTTTCACATTGCGTAAAAATCCCAGACTGGAACTGACTGATGTTTTTTGTTCAGACAAACAACGTCTTTTTCCACGGAAAGAAAATAAAAATGATGGGAAACCTTTTAAAACTAGAACYAAACCAACCTTAAATCTGAATGGAATGAAAGTCAGAATGGCTGAAACAACATTAAACAAACTGTCTTTGAGGCCATATTTAGATTTAATGTTCAGTTTTAGTGAAAAATAATGACAAAAGCAGTAAATAGCTGAGTAAGAGAAGCTGCAGCTACACTAAAAAAAAAAAATAAAAACAATTAATAACCCAGCACTGGATCAAATTCAGACTGAACTAACCACAGCAGGGTTTAGTTATCAGTTTGACCCATAGTTTTCTAAAATTATGATTAAAGAAAAAAATTATTGATATAGCACTTTTAAAAGGTTAAAATAAAAATTAATAAATTAAAAAACTGAACAGGTTAAACAATAAAATGGTGGTCTGTAAAGAAAGACACAACTCATCTAAGAACTACGGGGTCAAATGTTTTGACCCTATCTATGAGCAAACCCACCCAACCTTTGACCCGACCCAGTTAACCCAGTTATCAAAACAGTTCAGCAGATTTGATTTAAAAAATGCATCTGAAACATAAACAAGAACGTCTTAACCTTTTTACAATTACTAATGTAAAATCGGGCACCACACTCCTAAATATGACCGTAATTATTTCCAGTTGGTCTTCAACTGTAGTATTAGTAATCCTTTACACCTCCTTTTTCATTGACATTTATGCACAAACGTCTGACTGCAGAGCACAGATTATACAAACCGCAATACATTTTAAAATACTGACTGCACATTATTTCAGTTTGATGAGWGAAGGAGTGAGAAGTAGGAGAAAAAAGCCCGTATCAGATTACAAATATAAATTACAATTAGATCAGTAAAACKTTTACACTGTACAGGCATTTTAATGACCACCTAGTTGATTTTCTTYACTGTAAATCCAACAGGCTTTATGTTTTTGTATTATAAATGATAAACCTTTTCAGCCAAAGCAGGTCAAAAACCTAATTTGTGAACTTCTCCACTCATCTCCTGGATGAAACTTAAAAGTACTTGTCTCATTTCTACCACTGACAAAGCAAAGTCAGTTTTGCACACTTTTAAATTTACATGCAGCATCAAAAGAACAGGGTAGAAGATGACCTTTTGTGAAGCCTGATTTAAAATAAGATACACATAATGTAAAATGAGAAAGGAGGCTTTAAATGAAGGAAAAGYGACTGACCTCTGAGCTCTGTCTTGMTTACATGGTTAGATCTTCTCTGATGAGTGAACTCCTCCTTCTGCCTGCCTCTGGCTGAAACAGCAGAGTAAAAAAGTCTTCCCATGACAAAGGAGCAGACAGGGGACCCTCTCCCCTCCCACCTTCAACTCTGCTGAGATTTTTCCCTCTCCAGGAGGGAGTGTGGGGCGGGGGGAGCAGTGGCTTGTTTACTTTGCTCCAGTTGCTGCCCCTCTCTGGCTGGGCAGAGAACTGTTCCTACACTAAAGGCATGAGCTTTATCATAATACGTTTAAATTTGAAAGAAGGATCAATATTTAATCTCTTCCTCTGAGATATTTTGTTTCTTCRAGCAGCGAGTCCTGACCTCTGACCTCACTCTGATCAATATCATGTGATTGTTAGATCATATTCCAGCTCTGAGTGATTCACAGCAGAGAGCTATGTCTTGTGACAGCGTCCGTTCTTCATTTACAAGTTTCCCATCTCAACCAGAACTGCTGGCTGTTTTATTAATACATTTAAAAATATATATATATTCTCACACAGTGAAATCTGTCACATGTTGGAAGTTTTTTTTTTCTGCATAAAATGTAAGATTTGTTTTAAAGTTGTAAAAAGATGTTGATGTTTGAATTGTTTCAGCAGTGTGCTGCGTGTGGAGGTGGGAGGAGGCCCTGTGGCTGGGACTGAACCAAAGCCAACCTCACGCCCACCCTCCACAAAAAAAAAAGCCCCCGTAAACTAAAAGAGATCGACCTCGCAAAACATACCTGTCCACTTCAATATAACAAAACTCGACGAGCAAACAGGATGAATGAAAAGCCAGTTTTGGAAAAATCCCCTCAATGAAATAAAAACCATTCTGAAGCAAAAAAAAAAAAAAAAAACCTCATAGTTACATCATAGGGAGGGGGGCTGTGGAGGGGACTGGACCAGATGATTACTTCCAGATACAGAGCTGGGGTCTTTGTCATTAAAATTCACACACACACACACATACGCTCACAACTCTGCACAATTGTCTCCAGGAAAGTTAAAATGACACATTTAAACCTCAGGATGGTTCCATTTGAGGAGTGGGACTTTTTGAGTTTAAAGCCAAAACAAAAAGCTTTATAGTCGCTGAAGCATTGGAATGTTTAAAAAGAAAAAAAAAGAAGAAAAAGAAACATTACTACACACGTCTACACAGRTGCATGTGTAAGCATTTTCTTTTTCAATTTGAAACTGTGTGAGGTGATCCTGAATAGAGGAAAATGGAGGGGCTGGGGGACGGAGGAGAAATTAGTGTCAGATTGTGGAAGAGGGGGTGTATGGTGGTAAATGTAAGGAAAGTCTGAGTCATAATGCAAAACATCTCATGTGTCCAACTCTAGGAGAAGGAATCCAATTTGAAAAGAAAAACAAAGTTTTGTTCGTCTGGTTATGCTCATGTTTGTTCTGATGAAAATGGGATTAATCCTTGGTGTTTGTTTTTAAAATGTGCAAACCCTGAAAACAACCATTGATGGACTTTTCAAGTTCAAGATGACCCCTACATCTAATCAAGTTTAATCAACCCTGAAATATCTGTACAGCAACCAGTTTAAAGGAGACATGTTTAATTCATTCAGTTGGGGTCTATATAAAGTGGGCCTACAATGCTTTGTTCTGACCTCCTCCTTACTGTAACTCAACAAGCCCCTCTTTCACCTCTTTTCTGGTGGCTGAGAAACCCACAGAACAAGTTACCTCCACAAACTTGACTAACCTGTGATTATTCTGCAGACTAAATCAACTATAATCAGATAAAAATTAATAAAAAGATATATATATATATTGCCCCCTAGATGGATGGTGCCCTTAGCATTTGCCTATCCTACCTAAACCACTGGTGATATACATTTCTTTAGTGACTTTTCTTTCAATGTTTAGGAGTTTCAAATATGCTTAAAAATATTTCTGTTTGTTTACCAGAGTCCTCACATTTTTGACTGGATCTTTGCAAAACGAACCGATCCTGAAGCTAATTTTAGGAAGGAAAGCCTAATCAGCGTAAATAGACCCACATCACAGAGGTGTACAGAGTACAACCAGATGACCAAACCCAGTTTGAACAGACAAATAGCTTAAGGTCAGCTTGAAACCACACAAAAGAAGTTGTTTGACTCTTTTGGCTGTGATTACCCAGTTGTTGTGTGATGTTTGTGCAGATGATTTAATCCGGTTCGTGGTTAGACTGGTGATTAGCACACAATCAGAGTGCGCCATCTCTTCCTGCAGATCTTCTCGGCTGTTCTCTGGACTCATCAACCTATGGCTGGATTAAAACCAAACATAGAAACAGTGGCATGGCCTCCAAGAATCAACGCAAATGGCGAGACAAAACCTCATCTCTATGAGCTCTGATCAAGTTTATTTGAAGAGGAAAATAAAACATTACGTCTACATTTAATCACGTATTTTACAATATAAGTTGCATGCACTATACTATAATACTGTAACATAKATGGATTGTAACATGCTGATGAAAATCTGTTTCAAGGGGATTTTCTCTGCTACGTGCTCACATGTACACACCTAAAGCTTGGAGCTTGTTTTATGYTAAATAAAGCTCAGATTCACAGTTTTCTAAACTATCTTTCTCCAGTTTTCTGTCCTGTGCCTCGTCATTTCCTCCCCCAGTTTGTTCCTTTTGGTCAGCTTCAGGACGAGGTGTTAAGGTCCCCTCACTGGGTTGCTGGTCTCGGGCTTCAGGCGGTGCTGGTTGCATGTTGTGTTCGGCGCTGTGGTGTCTCCTCTTGAATGAAGCAGACGGTTTTAAAACTTTGTGAAGCTCAAGTCCACTTTCAACAAACCCATTTCCATTGTGTCTGTGTGAAGCTTCTCTGGTCTCTGATCAGAGAGGAGGGGAAAAAAGACAAAGAATGTGATTTAATAATTGTTTGAGGTTATTTAACTATTTTTAGGTTTGTGTTAGGTAAATCGCATTTTAACCCCGACAGTTATTGTTTAGCTTTATTTGTTAATTTGCAGATTTAATAAAACATATTTTAGTGTTTTCTCTCTTTTTGGTTTTACCTGAATTTGACCTTAATTGTAAAACAAAGTTGTGATCTGAGCACTGCCCCCATGTGGTCAAACATTAAGCATTTTTCRTGAGTGATGAGCTCAGGTGATGTGSTTTAGTGTCTCTAATGTCCTTTGAAGCCTCTGCTCTGATTCATACTTTGAACTTTATATTCCACATGAGCCTGAAAGGTTTCTGCTTTTATTCTGGAACAATTTGCATTTAATGTTCAAACGGATATGTTTTATATTTCCTCTAAACATCTCATAATAAAACCTGCAACCTAATTCCACTTGATATATTATGTGGTATTTTGTTTGTTAAATTTATTAATTCTTTTTGCAGAAACAAATCAAAATTTTGCAATTCAAGCATTTATTTTAAGATGGGTTTTTTTCCATTTTACTCACAACACTTTATATTCCCCCAATATTTATTATTGTTGCGGCAGCAAATCCATTATCTGTGTCATTCTTGAAGCACTCTAGGAAAAGTAAACGATGCATGCAAAACTGTGAATTTAGAAAAATTCTTTATCTGAAAAAAAAAGTTGTAAAATATGACCAACAAGCAAAAATACACACACACACACACACACACACACACACACACACACAC